GCGCCAGATGTGGAAATCAGCATAGACAAACATTTTGTTATGCAGAAAGTAAGCAATGTTTTAAGTGTGCCCGAATGTGTGTCTCTCGTCCTCATCAGGAAATTAAAAAGTGCAAAGATGTGCCGCAGATAAAAACCAAATCAAAATCGCAAAGGGATAGAGATTCGAGACGGATACAGGAATATTTGGATTCTAAATCATTAACCCGTAGTTTGCCATTTGCTAATCTTCGTGATTCAGCATTCCGAAGTTGTTTGGACTCCTCTAGTATTATCAAATGTGAATTAACGTGTGTCAAAGAGAAACTTTCAACAGAACAGAAAAAGGGTGAAAGTCTGACAGCCGAAATCCAGAATTTACGCGAACAGTTACTTCATTTACAAAGTGTTTCAACTGAAAATGAAAAGTTACGTGAAAATGTTCTAAGCTTACAAGACAACCAGAAAAGACAATCCGTTAATATAGACAACTGTCAAAATCACGTAAAACGCATAAATGATTTGGAATTATACCTACAGAGAAAAATTGATTTTATTTTCGACATCCAACAACAATACGAAGAAATAGCTACAGAAAAGAGACAGTTTTTTAATGAAAACTCCATTTTACATTTCAAAGTGGACGAGTATTACAAGCAAATTGGAGAATTGAATATTAAATTAAAAGAATCCGATAGTGAAAAAGAACAATTGCGATCCACGCTAAATCAAAGGACCGTATACCAGAACCAACCCAGAACTTTTCTACCACAATTTAGGTATTTTCGTTGAATCTATTCGAAGCACGGGGTCGTGCTTCAGTGGGAGAAGAGGCATGTTGTCACAGTGGAAAAATGGACAAAAGTTGATTTTGAGACTTTTCGGACATTTTGTAAAAGATTTTGTAGAATCACTGTTTTTGTTGTATTGGCAATATTTCAAAAAGGGATTTTGTTAATTTTATTGTGAAAGGTTTAAAGACAAGTTTAGAAGATTAAGATAATCTAATTTCATGTTTTAATTTGATTTTCAATTAGCAACATTTTACTTCAATTGGTCTATTATTCGTATATGACAAGCCTAGACTTTAATTCCATAAATAAGTCTGTATGTTCTATTGTTAATTATTATCTGTGTGCTAATTTTTCTGTAATCCCTTAATTGAACTTTCTCACTCATTTAGAGAAATATTTGTCAAGTCTATTCAAGTAATTTTTGGTTTGTTATATAAACTATGTTGTTATTTTGATATGGCAGATTGGATTTAGTGTTACACTGAGCAGTTCCAACTCTGTACAATTGTATTCCATGCTGAACTTATTAAATTATACATCGCGCTAACCAGAGTCGTCTTTTGTTGCAAGAGCTAGTCCCAGAGTCGGAGTCCTTGCAGACTTGTCGTACTGTTTATTGTGTGTGTGTGGTTCCAGGCCAACACATTACCCAGTCACAAGATACACCCAGTTTCTATTTGTGACATTTAAAATGCTGAGATGCAAGACTGTCATTTAATCAAAACACTTAAAGACGAAATTCAGCGACTAAAAGCACAACATTCCGACGATATACGTGAATGTCAAGATTTACTTCATGAACTTTCAGTCGCCGAGAATCAAATTAAAAGTTTACGTTCAAACTATCCCAAAAACTCGCATCAACACCCACAACGAGGAGGTTACCCACGAAGATAACCGAGTCAAATAGTTTCAATTCGGCAAACTCGGAGACCGAGTTTAGGTGGAGTAGTGGCGAATATAACCAGGAAGATTTGGACAAATGTGAAATAGAAATAAAGCTAATTCCGACAATATATCTTAAGTGCTATAGTGACAATTTATTAATCCGTTCATCAAACCTTTTACATTTCTTTGTGTTTAATTAATTCTATTGTTAAATATATGTTTGTCGTAATGGAAATTACTCTGACGATGACAAGTTAATCCTTTGGACACTAATCCTTTGCTATAGTAACTGTTTTCTATATATGCTTTTGTATGTTATTTTGTAGTCAGTTTAGGTCTTAGGTCTGGTACTGTCCGGACCTTGCTAATAAAGTTTAAAGTATTGGTATTCCGTCTTTGAATTACTATAACACGGAAAACGCCCGGTTATATATTGGTTGAGGTACCCGCGGCACGATCTTGAGCTAGTTCCCCCGAACTAGTAATGAATACCTCTAGAAGCAACTATATGAAAGGAACCTGGAATTACCAGCCTTGCAGAAATGGACATCCGTTTCCGATGAGAAAAGCAGATACCTATTTGGACTTTCTGTGCAAATATTGCGGTAAGACATTGAACGTTTTCACCTACCATCGGTGTTATGCAGCTAACGCTTATTGTTACAAGTGCAGACATCATGGACATTTTGCCCGTATGTGTAGTTTTCACGTTAAGTCGTGTGAAAACCCAAAACCGAAGAAGAAATCAAAGTCAAAAATTCAAAGAGACAGCGACCGAATGAGAACGTTTATTGAGAAGAAACAAATGTCTCAATTTCCGTTTCAAGGACTTGAGGACAAGGAACTCTCCGTTTTTACGTGCTCCATACAGGACGAATTCGCGAAACAGCACATTAACAAGTTGAAAGTGTCTAACCGAAACTTCATCAAAGAAATCGCTGTGCTGAAGTGTGAAAATTCTAAATTGGATACCGTTATGAAAGAAAACGTGATGTTAAGGAACAGTTTGGACAAATTAAATTCCGATCGTGTACAACATGCCCGGGTCCTCCACCAAATGTCACAAATAGAAACTGGGTGTATCTTGTGACTGGGTAATGTGTTGGCCTGGAACCACACACACACAATAAACAGTACGACAAGTCTGCAAGGACTCCGACTCTGGGACTAGCTCTTGCAACAAAAGACGACTCTGGTTAGCGCGATGTATAATTTAATAAGTTCAGCATGGAATACAATTGTACAGAGTTGGAACTGCTCAGTGTAACACTAAATCCAATCTGCCATATCAAAATAACAACATAGTTTATATAACAAACCAAAAATTACTTGAATAGACTTGACAAATATTTCTCTAAATGAGTGAGAAAGTTCAATTAAGGGATTACAGAAAAATTAGCACACAGATAATAATTAACAATAGAACATACAGACTTATTTATGGAATTAAAGTCTAGGCTTGTCATATACGAATAATAGACCAATTGAAGTAAAATGTTGCTAATTGAAAATCAAATTAAAACATGAAATTAGATTATCTTAATCTTCTAAACTTGTCTTTAAACCTTTCACAATAAAATTAACAAAATCCCTTTTTGAAATATTGCCAATACAACAAAAACAGTGATTCTACAAAATCTTTTACAAAATGTCCGAAAAGTCTCAAAATCAACTTTTGTCCATTTTTCCACTGTGACACTATGCACGTGCCTATCGAAATACTAATTCTAAATAGTGATACATCAAAGTTTCAAATGACCGCAAATATGTATAGAAATCTGTAGAGAACATTATCTGTGTTTGAGTTAAAACTGTGAAAACAACTATCTATTTAGATCATTGATAAAGACCGCGAAAGTAATATATATGTCTCTTTGACGACTTGTTGCAAACATCTCCTACTGGAAAATTAAGTATTTATAAACAGACTACTTATTTATAATAATGGACATAGCTGCTGACAAGAAGTTTGTTAAAAAAACGAATTGTATTCAATACATATATAATAAAATTGAGAATGGAAATGATGAATGTGTCAAAGAGACAACAACCCGACCATAGAACAGACAACAGCAGAAGGTCACCAACAGGTCTTCAATGCAGCGAGAAATTCCCGCACCCGGAGGCGTCCTTCAGCTGGCCCCTAAACAAAAATATATACTAGTTCAGATAATGAACGCCATACTAAACTCAAAATTTGTACACAAGAAACTAAAATTAAAAATAATACAAGACTAACAAAGGCTAGAGGCTCCTGACTTGGGACAGGCGCAAAAATGCGGCGGGGTTAAACATGTTTATGAGATCTCAACCCTCCCCCTATACCTCTAGCCAATGTAGAAAAGTAAACGCATAACAATACGCACATTAAAATTCAGTTCAAGAGAAGTCCGAGTCTGATGTCAGAAGATGTAACCAAAGAAAATAAACAAAATGACAATAATACATAAATAACAACAGACTACTAGCAGTTAACTGACATGCCAGCTCCAGACTTCAATTAAACTGATTGAAAGATTATGTCTTCATCATATGAATATCAGGCACAATCCTTCCCGTTAGGGGTTTAGTATCATACCATCATAACATATATGAGAAGAACATAATCCGTGTCATGCCAACAACTGGTTTTTAAATAAATGTGTTTAGTGCCGATGCAAAGACCCTATACGTGAATCAATATTAACGCCAAAATATGCAATCTTTAATGACCTGACAACAGTATCGTAACTATATCCCTTCTTAATAAGTCTATTTAAAGGTTTTGTTAGCTTCAGAGGTGAATACTGACATTTTTGTGCTTTATAAAGAATATTTCCATAAAAAATTGGATGTGAAATACCTGAACGTATAAGAAGTCTGCATGTTGAGCTATATTTACGAATGATGTCCTTATACCGATGATAAAATTTAGTAAATGTTTTGACTAGTTTGTGATATCGAAAACCCTGGTGTAATAATTTTTCAGTAATACATAAATTTCTCTCGTTAAAATCTAAAACATTGTTACATACACGAGCGAATCGTACAAGTTGAGATATATACACACCGTAAGATGGTGACAAGGGAACGTCACCATCTAAAAATGGATAATTAACGATAGGAAATGAAAAATCATCTCTTTTATCATATATTTTAGTATTAAGCTTTCCATTAATGATATAGATATCAAGATCGAGGAAAGGGCAGTGGTCATTGTTAGTATTAGCTTTATTTAAAGTAAGTTCAACAGGATAAATCTCTTTAGTATACATACTGAAGTCGTCATTATTGAGAGCCAAAATATCATCCAAATATCTAAAAGTATTATTAAATTTGTGTATCAGATGTTGTTTCGATGGGTCTTTGCTGATTTTTGTCATAAATTGTAACTCATAGCAATACAAAAAAAGGTCCGCAATAAGTGGTGCACAGTTAGTCCCCATTGGAATTCCGATAACCTGACGATATACGGAATCTCCAAAGCGAACAAAAATGTTATCTAGTAAAAATTCAAGGGCATATATAGTATCAAAGCATGTCCAATTGACATAGTTTTTTTGTTTATTGCTACTAAAAAATGACCTAAAAGAGTTTGAACATATATATTCACATTCTGACTTTTTAAATGCCCATTTAATTAGGTGTGTGAATTTTTTCTTAATGAGAATGTGAGGCAATGTGGTATATAGGGTAGAAAAATCAAAACTTTGAACAGATTCAAAATCACCAATATATGCATGTAATTTATCAAGTACTTCCAACGAGTTCTCGACACTGTTTATAATTATACAATTTCTTTTGGCACGTGGGAATCATCTCAGCTATGTATAAATTTTGACCGGTCCCTGCCTAAAAAGTAGTCCTTTTTGTTGATTTCGTGGATATAATTGAATCATAAATTTTAGTGTTCAACGAATTACAATTTGCATATAGTCTTGTATACTATAAGAACTCAAAACAAGTGTTACTACCACTTTTTAGTATTATTATACTACAAACACAGCAAAATATATATTTTTACGATCTTTTTTTTCATTTGATATGAAATTGATTAGTTAATTAGTTAAGTTTCCATCCTGAAAATGTTGTACGTGTACGATCTTCTCTGCTTAGAATGGCACCTTCATGCGCATACATGTTTCTCAAATAAGCATTTCTTCTAACATTTTTAATTATAAATCCAGTAGAACAGTCGTCATCAGCATTCCGTTCTGTGTCTGCATGTAGTGCTCCACAAATATGTCCATCAACAACCAACTCGGTTCCAAATTCTCCAATATCTTCGTCTTTTATTCTAGAATCTACACATATTGTCCAGGTCAGGGCATACATTCCGCTAGATGGTGCTGTGAAGACACCAGTATTTGCGTTATAGACAAAAGCTGTGTTGGTTTCTGTTCTGTCAAAAATCAGCGTACTCCCCTGGGACAACGATTGACTATGAGCTACCACAAAACCGTCGGACATGTAGGCTGAAAATCCTATAAACGTTTTCTTACACACACAATCTGAAATAAATTCAAACAAATAATTATATTAGGATTATTTTTGACGAGCATTAACCGATTAACATCTAGATAAGGTAAATAGTAAATAATGTAGATGCACTTCTCTTTAAATTATGTTTAGATATTTTAGATCATGCTTACATCAACAATGCACATTAATTATTAAAATTCTGTCCTGGGTTCTGTTTTCTTTTAGAATATTGCAAAGCGCTCTCGACCAATTAAATTGTAGGATTTGATGCCTCTTAATTGTGAAGAATGAATGTAAATCATGTTCTTAGTAAGGGATTATCCTATTATTTGGGTCTATTTACAGTTCAAAACAAAGAGTTTCTATAAATGAGATACAACTGCCCCGAAGCACATTTATCAGATTGAAAGGATTTATCACATAGTGATTGAAACTGACTAAAAGTTGAATTGTGAAACAAACAAAAAACTCAAAATAAGTTGAAGTCTACTGGTGCAGTAAAATTGGTCCCTGACATAATGAAGTAGTATTTGATGTAAAAAGCCGGACCAAAATATTGGCTGTGAAATAAAATTTAGCTGTAAGTCAAATGCATGATTAATTGATTTAAACTGTAAATAAAAAAAGGATAATTCCTCACTAAAATATTACATGATTTACATTCATACTCACAATCAGGAAACATAAAATTCCTACATTTTCTTTGTTCAGTTGTGTCACCTAATATCTATAACGCATTTTTTTTTTTTAAATATTTCCCAAATGATAAGAAAGTCCTTACATCACTAAATGGAATACTTAAAAGGGAAGTCATGCATTAATTATAAACATTGCACTAACAATGAAACTAATTCTTAAATACAACCAATTAAGAGATCAGTTGAGCCTTGAGCACTTTACAATATTCTAAGTTTGTAAGAGAATGATAATCCCTTACTTCATGATAAGTACTTGCTTACGCTTGTACTTAATCAAGAAGAAAGGGGTTATCATTATCTTACATATGCTAATTTCATTATTTCCAAAAAATAATATTCTTTTAATAGTTGAAGTAAGTGCCATCTGTGTTGCGATATCTTCAAATCAATTACTCAATACTTTTTGGAGTGAAAGACAATCAAAAAAAGGTAAGAAACAATTATAGGTTAGATAATTAGATAATACTTGGTCATGTTTTATGAATATTTAAAGCCCGAGGCGTAGCCGAAGGTTTTAAATGTTCATAAAACATGACCAAGTATTGTTTGACCAATTTAGAACATATTCACACCTTCGAGTGACATAACAAAACTAGCCTCTCATTGTAATAATTAAATTTTGATATAAGCTCACTTTGATTGTTAACATGGTTAGTAAAAGGGATGTAAATCATTTTAATGGGCATTTCAATTAATGGAACAAAAGAGCAATGAGATAGTTTTTTGATAACAAAAAAGGATAAATTATTCAAAAATGGAGATGTCTTCTGCTTCAGGTACAATGTAATCTTATATATTTAGAATTCCTTCATTTTAAAAAGCACACAATGTTATATAAATATTCTTTTCTTAAATTGTATAATTTTTGATAATGAAAAAACTTCATCAACACATGATCAATAAATATTAATTTACAATCCTTTCAACATCAGATGCTTAATTTTTTTTGATGAATATATTGAGTTTTTTTCAAAAACTTTTATTTATTATTTATCAACAATCATTGATTCTTAAAACATAAGTTTAAAAATTAGATTAAAAAAATACATGTATTTTACCCACACCTTTGCCATGTTAAAATCTCAACTTAAAATGCTTTTATAGTTTTATAGTTCTATTCTCCTGATTTCATTTATAATAATTAGACAAACAACAGTACTCATGATTTTTTTTTTGCTCTTTTCCTCAGGAAATTGATATTGGGGATTGTACACTTCGTTAGAGCAGTTTTTAAGAGTTCACTTTCATAATTAATCTACAATGAAAAGTCATTCATGTATAGCATTTTATAGTGCATGGAAAGCCATGTACTATGAAATATAGAAGGGAAAATTCTGATTTTCCATCGGACGAGAAGGTGTGAGTATGTTCTAAAAAGGAGAAAAAAACAGAGATTAAACACCTGCGGCAGGCTTCAACAAATAATAAATTAAGTGAACAGTACCAGTAAATGGTTATCTGAAAGATCCATTCAATATTCTCTCGGTAGCTTTAAATGCAGGGTAACGATCATTCCTCACAACTTGGCCTATTCCGTTCCTTCATCTAGGATAGAAGAAGATTAGCGGATTCACCCGAAGATTGCCGATTGGGGTAACGATATCAAAGGGGCAATCAAAAATCACATATCGAAAAAAAAAGAAGAAGAGCGACCTGACCACTGAAAAAACGGACGATAAGACAACTAACAGTCTACATGTTACTACACAGAAACGGGACTGAGCAAAACAAACCATGCAAATTACTGATGATGGACTAATGTGCTTTGGAAGCTAGTTAGAAATTTCTGAACAAACAGTGGCACCCATCGTGTTGGTCATTGGCAAGTAAATTTTTTCTGATAAGTCACATTCTGAGAAGTAACATTGAGGAACAAGATGACAAGATTGAGTCTTTTCTCTGTCATCTATCAAGATATATTTCATAACGGTAAAACAAATCATAATGACAAAACATTTTTCAAACTGTACCATTAGGAACCTTTTGTTCAGTAGTTTCCTTTTAAGAAGCAATCCCTTACCAAGGAAACAATGACAAGAAAGGCAAGCTCAGAAATACTGCATCAATTAGGAGATCTCTCGATGTTTATGCAAACTTGTCGAAACCTAATAATTAAATTACATAAATTTAATGCCAAAAAAGAATGATAAAATTTGAGTAAAATTGGAAACCAATGAAAAAAAGATAGAGAAAGTAAAATATGTGTAGATATAACACCATGCACCGCTCGCATTATCGTATTTCCATGTTCAGTTAACCGTGCAGTCAGGATCAAAATCGTAAGTTGTCATAAAAGTACAATAGTTTACCTCTCAATGAACATGCGTTCTAAGTTTCAATGTGATGTGACCAAAACTTCATGTTAAACTACCTTATCTAAAAACTTTAGCCTCCGAATATTTCGCATTTTCCGCTATCTTATTACCATGTTTGGTGAACTATCTAATCGATGTTAACACGATAATTCTTCATATATTTTAAGATCTTCACATCGTAATGAACTAAGTTTCATGCAGTTGTGACCACACCCTCATGGTATACTATCAAAACTAAGCTGATACATAAGATACAGGACGGAGGGAGAAACAGACGGACGAACACAAAGACCGGAATACAAAGTGCCCCTCTTTTATCGTAGATGCGGCATAAGACATTTATAGTGATTACCACATTTGATATATAATATGTCCTTTTTTTGTGCATTGATCGTCTAAAGCTAAACATCTTTTATATTAATAAAGAGTTTCAGAGAATGCAATAGCAATACATGGAACTCAACATAAACCCCAAAACCTGTTTAAGAGGAAAATAAGCAGACTGGATCATGTTCCACCGCATTGTATGGGTTTATAAGCAAAACATTTCATAGAACTATGTGATTAAAGAATGAAAGTTTCAAATCAATTACAAAATTGGGAACTAGAACGCGCGCTGTAAAACATAAACTCAAGTGTAAAATGAATATTTATTGCTGGTACAGTTTAGAAACTGTTTATCTTTCTTTTATTTATTTTGGGTTGGCAGAAGACAGTCTTGATGGTTTTCACCAACACTGTTCATGAATATAATTTAAGATATGAAAAAAAATCTTAGTCGTGAATAATCAGAATTGTCACCTAAACGGTAACGGGACATAATAAAACGGAACAATATAAAAACTCTTACATGGTCTTCATATGGACACCATCCGATTTTCAACGATAGACATCACACTTATGTAAAGATATCTTACCAATGGATATTATGAAACTTTCTTAAAACATGTGAAAATGTCGAAAGCATGCGTAAAATGAAAATCGTACAAACTGCAAGTAAAATAATGTACACACACGTTAACTTTTAAAATTTTAGATTTGATAATAAAAAAAATCACAACATACTGCAAATGACGCACAGGTCTAGAAAAATGTAGACGTAGCACGTAGCAACAACCACTGTAGAAATACTAACTTTTGACACTACATTTTTGTGTGATCTTAAACCAGTATTTGAGAGTCAAGAAAATGTAGAAAGATATAAATTGCGTTTACTGGATGAATTTCTTGATAACAAATGTAAGTAATTTTACCTTGAAATTTCTTAATTACAGCCTTCACATTCGACTGTGTTAATCTTGTCACGTTATCTGTAATTTGTTCAACAGCCCCCTCCATGTGAGTGTCAAAAGTTCCTTGGACAGCTTTTGTCACTTCTTGTTGAATATACTTATGAAGAACCCTATTAAGTTCGGCAACGTCTAGGTCAGCTTTCAGTGTGGCTTTCATGTTATCTAATAGCGGAATAGATACAACTTCTGAGCATTGTTGTCCAATACAGTTCTCATCATGGGCACCCATAGTCAATAGAAAACAACACAACTGGACAGCTATTATAGAAATCATAGTAATATAAGGTCCATTGAATTTTTAGAGCAAAAATTGCAAAGTGTTTCCTTCCGTCTCCATCGTTCGTTGTTTGTGCTAAGATTAGCACAGAATGAATGTTTACAATATGTAAAAACAAAATATGAAGTTCGTTTATATGTTATACAAACGTATTTCTTTTTCGCTCTTGATTAAATGGCTGTCATCTTTTTTACACTTTCAATCGATCCGACTAGTATGTAGATAACGCAGCTCTAAAACAAATATCGTTTGCACTTGCCACGAACAAAAAAGATGCAGGTATTTGTTTGTTAATGCTGATTGAAAACGGCTAGCAGTTTCAAAATAAATGCACTGCTTATTATATAATTGGCGTACAAATGCGTGTAGTTTGACAGCTGGTACCTCAAAGCGGTTTCAAAACAGACAAACTATTAGTTCTCTTCTAGTGTTGAAGTATTTTGATTTTTAAATGCATATGTTATGATTTACTGATTGTTTGTACTTTGACGTTATCGGTAAAACACAGATGACTATTTGTTTTTGATTGACGTTATCGGTAAACATAGATGACTATTTGTTTACTAAGATGTATTATGCCAACGGATAATTATGAGAAAGAAGAATAAAAATAAACCCAAAGCCACTTAATAACATTAAACCCTTCTGATCAAAAGTAGTTAAACACTACGCTACAAACTGTTCAGAGTCTGAAAAGACCATATTTTGTGCTCCACCAGTAAAGTCGAGCACAAATTTTACTCGACTAGACTCGACATTATCTTGATAGTACTTAACTGTACTTAACTGTACTCAACTTTGGTCTCGACTTAACTTAATAAGTCTGATTCAGTACTTGATGATATTTGGTGTAGTCTGAAATGGTCTCGACAAAGGATGACCAGTCTTGACCTGTCTCGACCAGTCTCGACTCAGTCTTGACCAGTCTCGATCAGTCTCGACCTGTCTCGACCTGTCTCGACTAGTCTTGACCTTCAAATTTAGTCTTGACTGGTCTGAATCAGCCTATCTAACTAAATTAAATATTGATCTTACAAAATTCCAGGTTATTTGGTAGTTTGGTTCATTGCTGTGAAATTTTAAAAAGAATTTAATTAATAGGTAAAAAAAAAGTAAGAATTTTCAGTTTTGATTAAATTCAGATAGTCATCTTTAATTATTTCTATAACTTTTTCAAATCAACTTGGATTTTCAAAAAACTCTACAGCTATCTCAATTATACACTGATCTTACTGATTCCCAGGTTGTTATGTTGTTTGCATATTGCTGTCAAATTTAAAGATTTAATTAATCAAGGCAAAAAAAGCTAGAATTTTCAGTTCAGACTAAATTCAGATAGTCATCTTTAAATTTTTTTAAAACTATTTCAAAGCAACTTGGATTTTCATCAAAATCTACAGCTATCTCCCTAATATATTTATCTTACAAAATACCAGGTTATTTGGTCATTTGGTTTATTGATGTCAAATTTAGATATTTAAATTAAAGGTATCTATCTGAATTTAGTCAAAACTGAACATTTTAGCCTTTTTTTTACCTATTAACTAAGTCCTTAAATTTGACAGCAATACACAAAAATAAAAAACAACCTGGCATTTTGTAAGATAAATATATAATAAAGATCGCTGAAAAGTTTGATGAAAATCCAAGCTGATTTGAAAAAGTTATTAAATTTTAAAAATGACACCTATGTTTTGTTAAAACAAGAATTTAATATAATCATGATTATAGATAAAGGCAACAGTAGTATACCGCTGTTCGAAATTCATAAATCGATTGAGAAAAAAACAAATCCGGGTTACAAACTAAAACTGAGGGAAACACATCAAACTTTCATAGCAATCCTTGATAACCGTTTAAAAAAGGAAATGTGTTCAAAAGTTACAGTAAACATTTATTTCAATCAAATTTAAATAATTTTTGTCAAAATCAAAGACATGGCATACAAGAAGCACTTACATCAGTACATGTGTGTTTTACAGGTAAAAAGAAAGCCCTATTTTTCTTAAACTCGTGTATTACTTATCTAGTGAATTCAAAAGGCCTTGGGATTAAAGTTAAACAGGATGTTGCAATTTTGAATGAATTTTATTTAGAATTACATACTCTCTGACCAGGTGTGATCTTTTTAATGAGTTTGCCACAAGCAGGAGATATTACTTTATACTTCACCACTAAACAAGTTAATTTGAAAAAGTAATAAACAAATTTAAAGGTGACTATCTGAATTCAGTTTGTACTGAAAATTATAGCTTATTTAATTACCTATCAATTAAATTCTTAAATTTGACAGCAATAAACCAAAGTAAAACAACCAGGAATTTTGTAAGATCAATATACAATTGAGATAGCTGTATAGTTTTATGAAAATCAGAGTTGATTTGAAAAAGTTATAGAAATAATTAAAGATGACTATCTGAATTTAATCAAAACTGAAAATTCTTGCTTTTTTTTTTACCTATTAATTGAATTCTTTAATTTCACAGCAATGAACCAAACTACCAAATAACCTGGAATTTTGTAAGATCAATATTTAATTTAATTAGATGGGCTGATTCAGACCAGTCAAGACTAAATTTGAAGGTCAAGACTTGTCGAGACTGGTCGAGACTGGTCAAGACTGAGTTGAGACTGGTCAAGCCTTGGTCGAGACCATTTTAGACTACACCAAGATTGTCAAGTACTGAATCAGACTAATTAAGTAAAGTCGAGACCAAAGTCGAGTACAGTTAAGGTGCTCGACTTTACTGGTCGAGCACAAAATATGGTCTTTTTAGACTCTGAGCAGTTTGTAGTGCTAGAGAAAGTAATCTAATTCTCATGTAGCTGTTTTCAATGGGCCTTATCCAAAAATGGTGATCTGCTGATGTCCTAATTATTTCAAAACTTTGCATCTTTAAACAAGATGATAACAAAAACAAAACTCCATATCTAGGGTTATGTCAAAGAAAGTCTCGTCCTTTTTCTAAAAAGATACCAAGACCTTGTTGATAAATATTCCGTATCTACTTCACAAATAATACATGATGGTCAGGAAATGTATAGATTCAGTTACTGACTTTGTTTATCATCATAATTAAGTGTAATAGTGTTCTTTTTATTTGTTTTTGTATATATTTTTAACCTTTACTGTTTAATTCATTTTTAATAATATCCTTTTGGCGTTGCTCGGTAATTATACATCCCGCCATTGCGTTATTGTGCTATGGCCATTTTTTGTATTTTTGCGTATGTGCTTTGTCTATATTCCATTTTGTTGTTCTTTGTTGACATAGTTGTTTGTTTTTGTAGTGATTAAGATTACTCCGATTTTTGACATGTTTACCTATTATGTCTGTTTGTTTTGCTCACACATTGTTGTCAATATAATGGAATTCTATGCGACTGTCATACAAGTGAGAGATTTAGCTAGCTATAAAACTAGGTTTAATCCACCATTTTCTACATAAGGAAATGCCTGTACCAAATCAGGAATATGAAAGTTGTTTTATATTCGTTTGATGTGTTTGAGCTTTTGATTTTCCCATTTGATATAGTACTTTCCGTTTTGAATTTTACTTGGAGTTCATTTATTTTGTTATTTAACTTTTTTCTATAACAAAATTTTAAGTAATTTAAAATTATTTCCGTTATAATAACATTATAATAGAATTTTCATACATTCCGTCATTTGTTTGCCCGAGGCATTCCAACAGTTTTATTTCTTTGAAGTGGCATGTATTGTTTTCTCTGGACAAACTATATTTTCAAACAGCACAGGAGAAGAGTGTTATTTATGTCAATTTAGTTCTACTTTTCTAAAAAAATGAAAACAACACGTTATAAATTTCATGCATCCGAAGCGCTGTTCTGGATTTATCTTTATCAGACACGATAAAAGCTGAATATTTGAAAGCCAATGATGTATAAGAACCGAAACAGTTGAAAAGCTACATGACCAAAAAGATCCCCAAAAATAGCCAAATCCATCTAAGGTCAACTTTGCCTGAGGGAGTTGAAACATTAGTTTCTAATAATTTCAAAATTTATAAACGGACAATTTTAGAAAGGTTTGTTTTAAATCATGTCAGTACCGAAGTACTGACTACTGAGTTGATGATACCCTCGGGGACTGATAGTCCACCAGCAGAGGTATCGACCCAGTGATGTAAAAAATGAAAACACAACGACAAATGATTGATGTTATGACGTCACAATTACGTCAATATATGCTCCGTTTTCATGAAAATGAAAAAAAATGCCGAATTTATGTAGTTTTCCATCGTCATTTCCAATGTGGAAACATCGTGCGCAGCCAAGAAACAACTGAAGCTTGATATATACCTTAAAATTGTTGTAAAACAAGGAAATTCAGTCCATCAGACTTAAAAACTTAAACTTAAACCCACAGTATCCGATTCATATGTTTTAACAGCTTTATATCGTATTTTCGAAGATTTCACTCAGTCAGAAATGCTAAAGATGACTAAACACTGCAATTTTGCTGGATTTTTAAAAAAATAGCAATTATCAAAAATTAGCGAAAAGGACATTCTTAACGAAAACAAATTAATTGAATAATTATATGAATTGCATGTCAGACACTGTGTGACAACTAAATTTGTTTTGTTAGATTTTTCTATTTTCTTAAACAGAAATATGAGGCTGAATATTTAATAAAATATGAAATATTCAAAACGGTTAAAGTATGTTATTAGCATTTAGACTTTACATTTTGAGTATGTTTTAAAGAAATCATTTTACATTTTAATAGAAAACGAGGATCCCATAACATCAAGTGGAGTTTGGATTGGAAAACTCCAATAAAATACACTCAGTCATGTAGATTCAAAATTTGTTGGGCAGAGACATCTTTATTCATGCTCAAATTATACTTTAATAATACATATATTTCCGTCGTATCATTTAATAAATACAAATGAAATAAGAAATAGATTATCAATATGTGTTTAAAGTTATCAACATTGAAAAAAATGCACACTCCAAAGAACCCTTAGCTGTACATTAAGCACAATTGTAAAGAAATACAATGTATATATTACTGACTCGGACAATGCTAATGATTGGTAGTCCTTATGAAATTCTGAAGCTTATTGTTTGTCGTTTCTGTGAATTTCTTCTGTGGCTTGGTTCTACTATTGAACTATGTGCCTGCTTGATAGATAACATTTTGATATCTTTTTTTTTTTGATTGATTATAAATGGTGATGGTGTTTAAATAGTACTTTATGCTTTTA